GCCATTCGTGATCTACATAGGTCATGCGTCACTACGCACTGCGACTCAGTTGCCTCACCTCTCGCAGAGGACGGCCAAACGGCTCTCCTTCTTCACAAAATATAATTTTGAGATAAAGTATAGGCCAAGAAAGCAGAATGCTCTGGCTGATGCGTTGTCACGCAGACCGGAGTATGGGCCTGCTGATATCACGACGGCGACGTCGTCAGTGACGAATTTGACCCGCGCCGCATACGCGGGTGATGGTATGTGTGTAGCACTGCTACAGGCTTTCGGGGACAAGGAGTTTGGAACCTTGGACAAGAAGTTGTCGGCGCGATTGTGCGCACAGTTACACCGATATTTGTTGGGTAATGAATGTTGTTTTATAGCACCGATTCGACGATTACGCAACGAATCGTGGTTCCTCAAGATTTAGATTTGAAATACCGTATCCTCTATGAGGCCCATGACATTCCACTCAGTAATCAGCTCGGTTGTGGGAAGACGTTTAGCTCTGTAAGTTGCTACTACTGATGGTCCAAGCTGTACAAATGGACGAGCACATATGTGTGCACGTGTGAGACGTGTCAGAGAAAGAAAGCCTTTCCGAATGCGGCGGCACCGCAGGCCAGTTTACCGATACCCTCCGGGTGTTAGCACATGAGTATGGACTTTGTATTGGCCTGCCGAAGGACTCGGCGGGCAACACGACCGTGATGGTCTTTGTGGGCCGTTTGAGCAAGATGGCTTCTCGTGCGGCAGTGCCGGACAATATCGACGGCGTGGATACAGCGACGCTGTCTGACGATCATGTCTATCGTTAGGATGGAGAGGCCCGCGCTTTACTGTGAACTTTTGGTCTACAATGTTCATGGTGCTGGGCACCAAGTTAACTACGTCAACAGTGAATTATCCGCAGACCGGTGTCCCCTTGTTGTTCGTGAAAGAGGCGATGACTTCCTGTCTACCAGACTGAGTATCCTACGACACGATCGCGATGCGATGACTGAAAGCCAGGCATACAGAATGAGAATGCAAAGGGAAGAAGCAGAAGAAATGTGAAAAACAGTTGGATTCCTGGGCTTAACAAAAGCTAATAACCTTCCTACTCATGTAGTTTCTGCTGTCTTTAAGACAAAGCTCCGTCCACGGTTTATTGGATTTCTAAGGTCGTGACCAAGCGAAGCCTTGCGTATACGGTGAACCTTCCGAGAAGGATGCGCATCCATCCGGTGTTTTATGTGGGCTTTCTTAAGCCGTACCGGGATCCGTCACAAGTGAACGAGGACAAATTGGCGCCGGGGGTGGCGCCCAAAGGTGCTCGGCCACCCAGAAGCTGACCCAGCAACTGGTTTTGAGCACGGAGTGCAACGATTTCCGTTTCCAGCGGCGCAAGGCACTCCACCGCCGTTCCAAGTGACGTATTTATCTGCTTGACGGCTAGGAGCCGCTCCGATAAAGCGCGATAATCCTCAGCAAGAAACCGTCGGTGCGCAAAGTGCTCCAGGATCTCAAGGTCTTCCGCACAGCGGTAGGTGACCTCGGAAAAATGCTCGTCGGAATGCCGATGACGACGGACGTTGTCCTCCAAAGCTCGAAGAGAGCGCAAGTCACCGTACGGCGATCGGCTAAGACGTCATCGTCCGCCATTGTCTCTTATCGACGAGAATGGTGGAGTCCACTATCACGTCGAACGCCTTGTGGGTCGACGTCGTCAACAGGGTCGAGCCCAATATCTTGTGAAGTGGCGAGGATACCCTGTAATTCGTGGGAGTTTGAGGTGCCACTTCAGCAAGCGTGGACGCTTATGATCAGAAGGATCATGACGTTATGCGTCGTCGTGTGCTTCGCGCTTCTCGCCAGTAGCCTGGGAACCCAGAGGGTCATGAGCTGGTCTCAAGCTATGGTCCTTAGCCGATATGGTCGTAACCTCACCAGTGTGAGAAACCACAGAGCTCGCGGGAGTGTGATGGTTGATTTCATGTGTCGCAGGGCAACAATACGCAGAAAGACAGCGTTGCGCCTTAAGTTTGGCAAACTCAAATCAAAGATGGCACTCAGCGCGCACGTCCACTTCCTTGTGGATTCGCTGTAAGGTAGACAGCGAGGGAAATTTCCGGTGCCGCTGCACCCATCGCTCAAAGAGCTTCTCATCATCTGCAGCGGTTTCACATCGGGCAAGAACAAAAGGAATAGTCCGCATCACGGGTACAGGAGCGCGTCTTCTTTGAGCTCGAAGTCGAGCGCGGTACCTATCCATTGAATTTTTTGAGGTATCAAGAAGCGAGCACAAAGGGCTTTCCGCTGGTCAAGCTCAGCTTCTGTAGTGGCCGAGGACCTGACTACGTAGATGCCTAACGATCGAGTGATCGCGTCTTTTGCTTCAGTAGCGGGATCCGCCGAGCGGAAGCCGTACTCCACACGAGGGTCTGGGACCAAACTTGGATACGAGCGCAATTAAACCGCCTTGTGAGCAGCCTCCAATCGCTGCTCCTGTGCCTTGTCGAGACGATTGGTAACAAATTCACTTCCTCCGGAAGTCGAGAGGTCGGGAAATGGACGCAGTGTCAGTAAGGTGCGAGCTAGGCTCACGTCGCGCCGTTGGCGCACCTAGTCCTACTCGATTTCCCATGATGGGAAATGTGTATCCGACTCGTACACGACTTCTCCAACTCATCGACAAGAAAACTCGTCGCCCGGGGCGGGCGCGGTGTGTGGCTCTCGGTTGCCGAGGGCTTGGTATGTACTTCCCGTGAGCCGCGGACGTACTGTCCGGAGATGCCCCCGTGCAAAAGTAGAAGAAGGGCTTTGCCCGCGGGCGTTCTAAGAAACATCTAGGCTGGGTGGTTTCGTGTCATAGACACAGGGCCCAATGAACGGGGAATTTTTAAGGATGTCGTGAAGGACGTAACGGTGTCTCAAACGCGCGAGCCTCGTATGAGGAGACAGCAAAATGTGCATTGTGGATATTCAGAATTTCGGTAGGGGAGAGTGTGCACGTGCTCTTGTATGAAAGGGCGGGTCACACAAGATGGTGTGACCGTACATAGGTCGCGAATTACACAAGTTGGTGTCATCACACAGTGGTGTGGATACATCGTAACAAGAAGTTACTACGTAGCAGGATTGCATATTAATTTGGTTTTACTATATAAATTAGATATACAATTTAATTAAGAAAACCCACGGTTGTAGATATTGGCGGCTTTGCTGCACCTACGACCATTAAATACGGTTTCATTTTTGAACAGAAGAGCTTCTTTGCTTTAATTTAGGTTTTGAATACTCTTAGAGGTAGCCGCTACACTCAAACTGGTTCTTGTAAAGCGAACGTAAGGTCGGTGGCCTTGGCTTAGCTTCCTCTAAGCAAAGAGCTACGGCAGCCCCGCTGCACCTGCCCCGACTGGTTGCTTTCCGTTTTGTGGTCCGTGGGAGCGTTTAAACTGACGACCTATATATCGTCCGCGGTTATCTGAGCGATCACCTTGTGTCTGTTGCTGACTCGCTGACGACACTATGCATTTACGGGCGATATGACCCGGCTTCCCACAACGAAAACACTTTTCATCGTTGCGAGGACACTCATTTTCGTGAAAATGTACGATAAGTCCATTGGCTCTTGACCATCACATGAACCGGTCTACTGGCACGCTTGCCTTGGAACGAAGCCATTGAAGTTGGATTGCTTGATGCTGAACACTTCTTGCATCGCACGGTTGACGGTATTGTCCACCGTCTTGATAACTACGGAACGATTAATTTTGAGTTGTATTATCATCCAAGCCTGCCATGAGCGTTACAACTTTCGTTGAAACGTCTATTGGCTCGTCGATACCAAGTAGCGAGCACGCTGTGTATACGTGTGTAGGTCGTAACGACCTTGACGACGCTTCAAGAACCCGGCACTCACTCTGTAATATTTCAAACCCTTTCGTTACCTCGCCTTTGAAGTGTCCGAAGCTGAAAGCAGTCTTGGTTGGCTAAACGCTTTCCATACGCCCAACTCTTCGCACGACCCGCAAGGTTGGACACCGCGAACGATACTTGCTGCAAGGGGGTCTCGCTGTTGTCGTGCAATGATTGCTGCACCCTACTCTACAAACCGTAAGAAGGCTTGTTCTCTTTACCATGGTTCAAAGCCACGTTCAGTTTCGAAGGCATCCTTATGTACGGAGAAAAAAAGGTTGCGACCTCCCTCCGAGATTCCATAATCTCATGACGCGTGAAACTGACGGCTGCGTTGTTCTGGTCATCCGGAGAAAACGACTGCAGTAAAATGATTACTGCAGCTTCTCCGATGACTTCTCGCATCCGCTAAAGTTTCATCGGCTCATGTGAAGACTAAGAAGAAAAATCTTAGTCGTCAACACCTCAGATTGCGGTACTGATGAACCTAGTGGTACCCAGACTCCTTCCATGTCTCTCGGGCAAGGACAAGAGGATGGCTTGGACTGAAATGCGTGACGTGCCCAACAGCCGCGTCGTCAAACCAAAATCGAGCGTCGTTGAAAAGACCGCTCGAAGTGCTACCAGCTGTTACGGCGCTGTTCACAAACAGCACCTATAACATAACACAAACACGCTTGTACGACGAGGAAGCGATTCCCGACGTGGAGGGTCCGACTTGGAGAGAAGAAGAACTACTTAACACCTTAATGGTGAATCAACAATGAATTACTATTCCTAGCAACATGCAAAATACCCAAAGGACTCCTAGAGGTTTTACTGATAAAACCTTGGGTGTAATTTAAAAATCAAGGTGTAAATCCCAGATTCAACGGATACAAGGTCTTGGTGTACGGAGCTTGAACTTTGAGAACTTGAACTTCAAATTTCGTAGAAAGTATTCAGTAGAAGTAACTGGCTTATGCCACCCACTGTCAAAGGCAGAGACACGTCGGTCTCGTTACCAGTACAGATCTCAAGTAGGAACCAGCATTCTGTATCACACAGAATGTTTGTGACTTCAAAAATTACGCACGCATTTGGTGTAACACCATACTGTGATCTTCTTTTTTTTCAATTCCCACAACGCATACAGATGGTACCTAATGAAATGGCTAAGCGTAGCCCATTACACTACTGTGCAGTTGAGAAGAGAACTCCTAACGCAATGGGCGGTCGCATAGCTCCCACTGAGAATGCGCTGTCACAAAATGAGACTGTTTATTTGTGGCGGTGAAGGAAGCTGTAAAGAGAATGAACGCCATTATAGTGCACGTAATCATAACGCAAAATCTATGCCATTATTAGTACATTGGACCATCTATATCATTTTTTATCATGGATAGTTTTAGAGTTGAATAGTAATGTCATTTCTTGATAGCTTTCCCTTTCTGTAGTAATATAAGAAGCTTTTTAGTAGGGGCGACAACCGGATTTTAACATAAGGCCACATCGCATTTTACTGTCAGAATAAATCAATGTAAATTATAAGGAAAGGCGATATTTTACACAATACATCAGCTGCTTGGTCAATCACTCCCTTAACATCGCAGGTCGGCATTGGCTTACGAAGAAGTGATCAAAACATGATTAATGTCGTTGATCATCTTCTCACTTGCTGACTCCCTCATCCGGTGGAGCTAATTCCTTATACAACATATAAATGGACGAGTCTACTCGATTGCTAGCCCACTGACGAGTTCCTTAATGGAATCATTGAAACCAATGTATTCGCTGTAAATGCGCTTGGAGACCGTAAATGAATCACCGACTGTCACAGTTGGATACAGTTCATGGCTGATCTGCCATCTGAGCTCAAACTGAATGCGCTTCTGTTTAAGTATTTTTTCATCCATCGCTCTATTATCAGTGTAAGCGCTGCAGACCTCAGACAGCCACATCGTCCAACGAGGGATGTAGTAACCGCTTACAAGACCCGCCCACTCCTTTCCAGCATAGTCATGAATTGCCTCATTGTTGTTGTCTCCCCATCGCGTCACTTGATTACGAGCTTCGTATTCGTAGTACTCACGCAATTTTGTTCTAGTAAGTTTATCGTCACCAGAGCTCAGGTCATCAGCAAGAGACAACGCGTCTCCAATCCATCTACCAAGCAAAAAGTCTTCATTCGTAGCCAGAACTTCCTCCAAATGCTCCATAGTTATAAGCATGCGGTCTGCTAAATCACATACTTCCTTTGACGACACCGTTTTAGCAACGTAGATGTTCTTCAGATACGTGTACTGTGCAAGCAACTTGTTGCTTAAAAACTGCTTTGTGACATCGACTAGGTCATGTCTGTAAGTGTCTATATCGTGAAGTTCATCTCCAGCAAGCAAAAGCTCGTTCCAGGCTAAAGCGACATCATTCGGATCATACTTGATAAGCGTTGGCTGAAATCGATCGTATAAGAGCCTCCAATGAGGAATTAAGCACACCAAGCTCTTCGTTACGCCGCCATAGGCACGTGTGCGGTTGTATACTGATCGTAAAAGATAATTCCAGGCATGCTTTATGTGCTCATTGTCTGTGTGATAACGTTGTGTTGCATACTCTGAAACCCACACCTTTACATCCAGAGGAGTATCTACCCACGCCATTTGCAGTGTGAGGTCATACACTACATAATTTTGAAATATGCCTTCCATGGTCAACCCCACTCCAACCATTGTACCATTTCCCGCCTGGTTTGCCAGTACGGGCGCAGTCGTCAGAGTTGCTAAGTCCCCCCGCATTCCAGTATTTCCGCCAAAGTTATGAAGCACACAGTAAATCCAGCTTTTGCCAAAATAGTTGTCCATTGAGTTCCATAAAGGCACGGATTCGCTGTAAAAATCAAGAACGATCAATTTGTCCGTTGGAACACCATCAAGATATGCTTTGACGCGTGGTTTTGTCCAGTAAATTGGGTCGTCTACAAATGGCCAGCCTTGCATCAGCCATACAGCATGAGGATCTGCAGCTATCATGCCGTCAATCACAGCTTGCGAAGCCTTTTCAAGCTCACTAAAATCCGTGAACTCTGGCGACATTTCCATGTATGTATCGCATTGATATAAAGAAGAGGTGTAATTGTATAGAGCACGTTGCTCATTTATAAAGACTTTACCAATTTCGCGATATAAAGGATCTGTTGGCTCGATCATGTAAACACAGCAATGTTCCTCTGAAAAGTTTCCCCAGTTTGGCGACTGAGTGTAGTTTGCATTTGGTAATCGAAGCTTCAATTCTTCGGGAACATGCCCCGCAAATGCTGGAAGAGCTGGGATCATGCCAAACTCACGCATACGCTGCAGAATACGCAGCTGTAGCTTGTGTTGGTTGTCAATGAATGCTTGAGGCAATGGTCCTTTTCCCCAGCTCCCACGCAAGTTTCCCATGCGTCCCCAGGACAAAAAGGCTGAGCCAGCAAAAAATTTGCCTAATCCTTCATAACTTACATTGTAGTACTTGTGAAAAGTATTTTGCCACACTTTCTCCTGTCCGGTAAATGCCAGGGGCATGTTTATACCTGAAATAAAGTGTTTGAAAGTTTAGTAAACTGTATGAATATGAATTGGTACACACGCACCGTTGAGCGCCATCCAGTCAATGTGTTGCTCCCACTGTGGCCATCTCCATGCCCAGAGGGAATAGCTGCCGGTATCCACGTTCTGGTAGTAAGAAAATTTAGACCTACGTTTGTGACGCACGCGTTCCGTGACTCTTGGTAATTCGTCTGGAAGCTGAAATTTGTGATTGTCCCAATCGGTCTTTGTATGTAATACAGACTTGAAGTACCATTGGAGGCCATAAGCCATGGCGGTCGCCGAATTTGCAGCAATTTCAAGCTTGTTACCGTCACTTCCGAGCTCGAAGACATCGAGGTCATCTGGTTCAGACGGCAGTACATGAAGTGAAATCTACAGCACAAATAGCAGAAACACTTATAGGTTCATAAGGCGAAAAAAAGTTGATTGAACAAAAGACCTCAAACATACCTGATCATTGTATCTGCCACCCAGACGTCGGTGGATTAGCGCGCGAGTGGCAGCCACAGGATCATGCGGCTCCGCATTTCTTTTTAATCCAGCAACGAATGCCATCACCGCATTAGAGCTCAGTAGACACAAGGCGCATAAGGTCAAGGCCAGAAGAGAGGGCACATTATTCTCCGGCAAACAAATCATGGCCTTTTAAGATCTTTGCAAATGAGATCTTTTCCGATGAAAGTTTTATAAAATAAAGTAATTTGGATCTCGATTTCAGTAAGGAAAACAGGACACAAATTAGTACTGCTCCAATTATTCCAAAAATTTAACTCACTTCAAGTGTGGCGGGTAAGGTCTGAAAATTTGTTGATTGTATTAAAAAGCTGCACAAGATTCATATTGTACTTTTGTATACTTGTAAAACCACATTGGTACCGAAGTATCCTTATCGTTAGATTTGCTGCGACCCGTAATAAAGGGTTCCGCGGCACTAGAACATTTATTGTGGGATTTGATAAAGAGAACATATTCATTATTGGTCTAAATATGATTATCTTAGAATACATCTCAAAACAGCAGATGTACTCAAAGACTTAGTGATGTCAGTAGATCTCGATTCCCCTCCTTACGAACCAATTTATCTGAGCTAAAGCACTCTCGTTACGAAATGCACAGCAAACCTGTTGCATATATACCGAAGGCTGGCTCATTGTGGCAATATATACGCAGCGGGGCTGCCGTAGCGTTGCGCTTAGAGGAAGCGCAATTAAGGTCACCAACCTTTCGTTTTATACTTAGAACAAGTACAAGTTAGCCGATCAGAATCCGCTTACTCCAAGAGTAATGATTGCCTTAACCCAAGGCTAATTACTCTTCCGTTTAAAATTCAAAACTGATTTTTATTTATTTTTATCTGCGGCAAAGCCGCCTGATTTTAAATGTACAGATTTTCCTAAATATATAGGAAAATCCAAATACATGCATAACTACTGGCTACCTAGCCACATACCGTATTCTTGTTTGGGTGCAGTCACACCATGCCTATCTCGTGTGGCACACATTCCTGTTACCAGGGTACGTGTAACCCCGTTACACTCTTCCCCATTAAGATTGAGTACATTTACAGTTCCGATCGATTATTGCTTCAACAAGGCTCACGTGTCCGCTTGACACTGCAACTTGGTTCGTTGGAATAAAACGACTTCCGTGCTCAATAAGCCCTGTGTCAACGACACTGAAGTCACCAAGTCGCACTGGTTCTGACAGCGAACACAGGCAGAGCCCACCTTCGTCACCCGCACGCGGTGCAATGTCGGACAATGCTTCCGCGGCACCGGGGGATGTACATCCTAGGCACGATGAGCACGATCGTCGCGCTTTA